CCGCCAGCGACCAGGTAGCCGCTGCAAAGTAGAAAACGACAGTATCCGCCAGCGACCAGGTAGCCGCTGCGAAGAAGACAACGTATCCGCCAGCGACCAGGTAGCCGCTGCGAAGAAATAGACGACTGCGGCAACACCAACACCCGAGGTGGACAGACCAAAGCGAAGAGGAAGCTGAAGCACATGCAGACACAGTACAAGATAGGAGCGGCTCTGACGGATGGTGGCCGACAACGAAGCCTCTAAGAAGGGAACGAGGTCCGCAGACGCCAACAACGTTGAAGAGGGCACAAGAAGGACTTTCGTCCCAGAACGGCCCCAACGACCCGCGCAACGAACTAACCGATCCTTCGACGACGCCTTTAGGAAGGTGGATGACGCAGGCTGCGCCACCGCCGTCGGCCCTAAGCGAGAAGTCGGGCAGGGTTTTCACCTAGGAGCAATGTTTTTCTAAATAGTAAACGGTCTTTACACAGTTGTCCTTCGTTTAGCGTTTAGCCTGTTTACACGGTGTTTAAATGAAGTTAAACGGTCTAAACGATTTTATACTTAAAAAAATACATATAATTATATATGTGCATGTAAAAAATCAAGTATTCTAGCATTTATACATATTTATCCGAGTAAAAATCAATTATTTTGGTATGTATATATATTTATGCATGTGAAAAGAATCAAATATAGATATTTATGCATGTAACATATCAAGTGTACATATTTATAAATATAGTAAACTTAAGTATACAAATTTATCCATACAAAACTGAACTAGATTTACCTCGTGTTCGCCTAAACAGCCGTTTAAATAGCTGTTTAGCCCGTTTAATACTGTTTATCTCCATTCCGTTTAGACCGTTTTTTCCTGCTTTTTGACCGTTTAAACGGTCAACCGTTTAATTTCCTTTTACCCCCTAAACAAAACAGTTTACCACCGTTTACCGTTTAGTGGCCGTTTAAACAGTCGTGGCGAACACTACCTAGTAGCTTGTTCGACGGTCGCTGTGGGTCTCTCTTGGCCCCGGCCACCGGCCCCAAGAGGCGCTGGCCACTGCATGCCATGGCCAGCAGCCCACCTGCACGGGCCCGGCCACAGGCGCGATGGATGGGACACCGATAGCACGACATCTCGCTCGTGAGCTGGAGCCGCTCCAGGAGGCGCCGCGACCATGTAGCTCCCCGTTGCCCTTGAGCCGGAAACCACGGAGGCTCGCACCGCTCCACATGGCGCCGGGGCCCCGGCTAGAACCCAGAGCAACTCCACGCACGAGCAGATGTCCAAGAAGTGCAGGGCGCCAGACGCGACCTCCATGGATTTGCCCATATACCACGTGCAACGGGCTCACATGATCCACGATGCCGTAGTCGCGAACTGGGCCCACCGGCCACCAGGCCAACCATCCGCCGTCGCCAACTGCATCTGGGCGAATTCACCGTGGCACCCACCAGATCTGGAGCAGGGGCGCGAGATCCGGCCATGGAGGGCCCGGATCCGCCCCGCCGACCAACTGACAGGCCACCGCCGGCCAACTGCAGCAGGGGAGCGAGATCCGGCCAAGGGTGGCCATGATCCGCCCCGCCACCCATGCCAGCCAAGAAATCCGGCACCTGGGACCCTGGATTCGGCGCCTGCGGCCCTAGATCCGGCCGGCCGGCCGCCCTAGCTCGCCGAAGTTGAGGAGGGTAGAGAGGAGATGGGGAGGGAGGGGGCTGCGAACAGCACCCTTTTTTCGGGGCTGCTGCTGGCCGTCGCCGCCGCACGCCGAAGGGCGGCGATGGCGTTCGGAAGAGGGTGCGTGGAGGAGGGGGGGCCCTAGGGCGGCGGCGAGTCGCCCCTGAGCCGCCTCGGGAGGGAGACGGCGCGGGGGGAGGGATGGTGGTATCTGCCAAGTCCACGAATAAACTTGTTAAGCTGCTTTTATTGTGTGTCCCGTATAATATTGTTCGCTGTGATCTACAAGGTAGAATCATATGGCCACGATCTTCTAGAAGAAAACTTATATTACGAATATATTTGGATCAAATAGTCTCCCTCTCAAAATATTTCAATCACTTTTGTTAGTTGTCGGGGAGTATTAATGTTTCATTAGTTTATAAATAAAATTTAAGATCATGTTTGGCACAAAGTAGCCAAAGGAGCCATATCAAACGTCTGAAGAGGAGGTCCTATTTTTTGACGTAGAAAGAGGAGAGCTGCTTTTGCTATAATGAAAGAGCTATGATATGTGAGGAGCTATTAGAAGAGGAGCAATGTCAAAACAGGTACTTTGGGTGTTTAGTTTCAAGAATAAGTTAGCTTATCATCTACTTATTTCTTACTTTTTTCTGTTTAGGTTGTGGAATGAATAAGTTGATGCATCGTCACTTTGTTAATAATTAGTATTAGTATAAGAAATGGAGTCATTCGACTAAATTTAAGAAATAAATGGGAAAATTGGTCTGGTAGCATTGAAAGATCGTCGTATCCGGAAAATACCATCAAAATTTTGCTGCTCCGTAAAATACCGTCAAAAGAATGCAAGGTCACCTGGATATAGCATTCCGTCACGTCTGGAGCAAACGCACCTCCGTCAAGCTCGTCCCCTTCCTAAGGTGAGCGTGCGCCTGCTGCTCAGCGGGGGCATGGCATGGCGTGCTCCTCCGTCTGGCTTTGTGGGCGGAATCGTGGGTTGGTGCGGTGCAGCTCCGGCGGAGGCGGCTTCGGCGAGCTAGGGCGAGCCGTGGCGGAGCTAGCCCTGCACAGCAAAGAGGCAGTGAGCCCCAATGACTACACTCTACGTGTCTCGAGACGCAGAACCACCGCCGCCACTTGCCTTCATCCGGCCACCGTCTCGGCTCATTGCATGTGAAGGCGGAAGAAGCTTTTGCTGCTTCGGTAGGATTCCTCGGCCCTCGACCTCGAGGACTGCTGCTGGCGCGTCCACCGAGGTTCTTAGCAAACGCACGACGGTTACCACGTACAAGGCCGCGATCGAGTCTGGGCCGATCATGGCGGTGAAGCACCTCAAGGAGACTTCGTTGTTGCGGGCCGAGTTCCGGGACAAGGTCGCGACCATTGGCGGATCGACCATCCCAACGTCGTGCTCCTCTGCAGGCTGCGAGCCTATTACTTCAACAAGGATGATAGAAGCTCATGGTGTACGATCGTGGCCATGGGCAGTCTTTCCTCCATGCTTCACGGTACGTGCTCTGTTCTTGTCAAGCGACCTGCGACTGCGACCCCTCTCTGTTTTGATGACCAAATTGAATGAGGTTTTCTGATGGGGTTCCTAATTGCAGGCAACCACGGCTCGGCCGGCCGCCACCGAAGCTAGGAGTCGAGGAGGCACATCACGCTGGCCTTGAGTACATCCACGCGACGGGCTCCATGGCCACGCACGGCAACATCAAGTCCTCCAACATCCTCCTCAGCCGCACCGTGGACGTGCGCGTGGCCGAACATGGGCTCGCGCACCTCGTCGGCCCCGCGGGTGCGTTGATTCGGGCGCATCTGCATGCGCCCGCGAAGTTGTATGCGGACCAGCGGGGTGTCGCGAGAAAGGCGACGTGTACAACCGGCATGTTGCTCCTGGAGCTGCCGACGGAGAAAAGCGCCGACGCGCGCGCTGTCGCACTTTGCCTGACGGCGTGGACCTCCGTGGTGGGCGTGCTCGTGGTGGTGAAGAGTGGACGTCACGAGGTGTTCGACATGGAGCTCGCTTTCAGCACCCGGTGCAGGAGGAGATGATGGTGGAATCTTGCGGCCGCCATGGATCGCACTAAGCCCGCCCGGACGTGGCGGCGATGCCCGAGATCGTGGCGCGCGAGAGCGTCGATGGCGGCGTCGCCACACCGACCAGCGATTTTTCCCGCAGCGACCAGACGCGGAGCTTCATTGCCATGGCCCCCGCTTTGAGCGAGAGGCGGCGGCGCGCTCACCTCGTGAAGGAGAAGGGGCGAGCTTGATTTGAGGCGGCGTTTGCTCCAAACGTGACGGAATGCTATATCCAGGTGACCTTGCATTCTTTCGATGGTATTTTACGGAGCGGTAAAATTTCGATGGTATTTTCCGGATACGGCGATCTTTCAATGCTACCAGACCAATTTTCCCGAAATGAATTCATAGTCTCATCTAAGATGAAGTGGTTCCTCAGCGCAAACACTTCGAATGTGATGTCATTTTAACACAAGGAATATTCCATATCTTTACTGTGCACAAATATTCATAGTTCATCTGTTCAAGATAACACGATGGACCATGGAGGGTTTGTTCGGCTGTGCGTTGCACCTGCACGAGACACAAAAGCTGCACTAGATCACTAAGTTCGCCGTACAAATTTCTATCCCCATTATTATTACATAAAATAAATAAATAGTTATCCTTATTATAAACTATAAGTACAGGGGTTTACAATTCGAAAATTTTCTTATACCGAGGTTTAAGGCCCCGTTCGCTTGTCTTAAAGTTTGACTTGTTCAGCTTGTTTTCTTAATTAAAACAGTGTTTTTCTTTCACAATAATTCAGCTAGAACAATATTTTTTAACCAATTTCAGTCAAATTCAGACCAGCGAACGAAGCCTAAGCACGAAACACGCGCCCTCGCCTCTTTTGAACGCTGTGAATGCGAAACAGAAACAGGCACAGCATGCCGTAACAATTGGGCGTCCCAATCTTTTTTTTTCCTCCTCGGCCAACGTGGCCGCCGCGTGCTTTCGCTTCTTCCTGTCGCAGTCGCAGCAGGCAGGCAGGCAGGCAGCAGCTTCGAATCGAAGCCCACCACCAGCAGCAGCGGCGCCCACTTGCCTGGAGCGCGAGAGCAAATCGCGGCGGCGCTCGTGCCCGTGCCTCCCGCGCCGAACCCTAGCGCAACCACCAGATCCGGAGATCCCGCGCGGGCGCAGGCGGGAGCGGGACCCCAATCTACTTGACTCAACTCACCCCCCGCCGCACCCGCCAATGCCGCCTTCTCGGCGCTGATCCGATCCCGCCGCGCCGCCGCCGACACCCGCGGAAACCCGCCCCATGGATTACTCCCGGAGCTGGCTCCAGAAGCTGCAGCCGCGGGACAAGGACAGGGAGCGGGGCGCCAAGGCGCCGGCATCGCCCAACGGCGGCGGCGGCGGCTCCACGAGGATGGCCGCCCCGGCGGCGGGGGAGGAGGAGGCGCTGTCTAGCGCCACCAAGCAGAAGGTGGCGGCGGCCAAGCAGTACATCGAGAACCACTACAAGTCGCAGATGAAGTCGCTCCAGGAGCGCAAGGAGAGGTCAGTCAATTCCAGTCCACTCCACTCTCCTTCCTGCTGTGATGGCAATGCGCGTGTGCCTGGGTGATTTGAGCGGGCTTCGGTGCTGCCAAATCGATCTATTTATCAAGTGCTGTAACTTTTGAGTTGGCCTCGGTCTTCTGTTAATTGCTAAGTGATCATTTACTATTGTTTACTATTGTTAGCTAGCTTGTCTATACCATTTTTAGGGAAGCTGGGTTCTGTAGGCCTATTAACATTTCATCTGTTTGCAAAGGCTTACGAACTGCTAATTTTCCTTTGTACTGAGAAAACAGATTAACCCAACAAGGTGGAACATACCATACACAAATATCAGCTTATATGGTCAAGAATGAGGATAGAATTGTAACTAGTTGACAGCTGAAATAAGCCCCAACGTCATTTCAGTGCCCCCCTGTAGTCTGCATGGGCACTGTTAGCACATACAGCTTCATATGGAATTATGGATTATGGAAGTACAACTTGCAGTCTGCTTCCGAAGTTTGATATGAAATCTAGATGTTCTGTCTATATTCATATGAGTCTTAGCACCAAAATTCTTGCAGGGGCGACTTATTTTCTTGGCTATTCACAATTCGCCTTTTGCCATATTTTATGGTTGACGGCTCATCTTTCTTAGTACCGTTGTAGGCCATATTAAACTGCTGCTATATATTGTTTTTGGATCATGCCTCTGCTATACATTGTTGAGTTCCGGTTAAGTTTGCTGCGATCAATGTTGATATTAACCTATATTATAGGCGTTGGATGTTGGAGAGGAAGCTAGCAGATGCAGATGTATCTGAAGAGGAGCAAAACATTATCCTGAAAGATTTAGAAAAAAAGGAGACAGAATACATGCGCCTACGAAGGCATAAAATGGGCGTTGATGACTTTGAATTACTCACCATTATTGGGAGAGGTGCATTTGGGGAGGTAACAAATATTTGAGTCATCCTCTTTGATACAATATAGTTGGGTGTTCTGTAATGAACATCAGTTTACTCAATACTTCGAGAGATCTTAGTTTTCTTGCAATACATGCAGGTCTCTAAAGAGACAATGTCTGTTTTCTGTGTCTGCCTGCTGCTTACCTCCACTTTATACCCCATTCTAATATTTTGCAGGTGAGACTTTGTAGAGAAAAAGCTACATCCAATGTGTATGCAATGAAAAAGCTTAAGAAGTCTGAAATGTTACGAAGAGGACAGGTATTCCATGATGCTAACTCTAGTAACTGTATTGTGTTATCAAGCTAGCTTTTCTATTCTCTAATGCATTATTTTTAGGTTGAACATGTGAGAGCCGAAAGGAACCTCCTTGCAGAGGTTGATAGTGCTTATATTGTTAAGCTGTACTGCTCATTTCAAGATGATGAGTTTCTGTACCTCATTATGGAGTACCTTCCTGGTGGTGACATGATGACTTTACTCATGCGCAAGGACACACTGACTGAGGATGAATCTAAGTTTTACATTGCAGAGACAATACTAGCAATTGAATCCATTCACAAGCATAGTTATATTCATAGGTAACATTGAATAATAAGAACCAATGTATATCTAATCGCAATTTTTTATTCAGTCATTGTTATACCTTTCCAGGGATATCAAGCCTGACAATTTGTTGCTAGACCGAAGTGGCCACTTGAAGCTTTCAGATTTCGGCTTATGTAAACCTCTAGATAGCAGTAGCTTCCCAAATCTGAGTGACCTTGACTATGCAGCAGGTAAGAGCACCAATCCATCATCAGATGGTGATAAGCAATCCAGTAACTCTACTGCCCCCAGGCGGACACAACAGGAACAACTACTACATTGGCAGAAGAATCGGAGGATGTTGGTAGGTGCCCAGCTATGTAAATTTTGACTCCTGTCATTTCATTGTAGATATGGCAACTCAAATATTGGTTGCTAACTTCAATACACAACTCTACTACACAATAAATTAGCTTGTATCTGCTTGTCAACATGAATTTGTTCTAAGGAGAGTCCTTTTTACACAGTGTAGGCTTTACAGTGACATTTCTTATACACAATTTAGTAATAGAGAGCACAACGGTGACGACAACAACAAAGCCTTTTAGTCTGAAGCAAGTTGGGTAGGCTAGGAGTTGTAAAGAGCACTAATGTACTAAAATTAGGTTATAAGAAGTCAAGAACATCTATACATGTATGATTATTATGTACGTGAAACATGATTTTATGAATGAAAGGTGAAAGGTTTCAAGATGTTATTGTCTTCAAACTCTGAGCAGTCTGCATAGATACACGGAGAAAATGAAATTTCATTCGACCTAAGGCCTTGTTTGGATGCGCATGTATTCATCTCAATCCACATGTGTTGAAGTGGATTGGAGTGGAATTAAACTAAGTTCCATTCCAATCCACTCCAACACATGTGGATTGAAGTGGATACACATGCATCCAAACAAGGCCTAAGGTGAAATGTAGTCCTCAGTACATTACATATGGAATGGTTCAGAGTGGTCATCTGTTTAAAACTCATGCCTGGTTCTGTTTCATATCCTTGACTCTGTATTTATGTGCATGGTTCATGAAATTTATAGGCTTACTCTACTGTTGGTACACCTGATTACATTGCACCCGAGGTACTTTTGAAGAAAGGATATGGAATGGAATGTGACTGGTTAGTTTGATCTTATGAACTTGTGCAGTACACATCCAATGTTGTCCTTTTGCTTACATTGAGTTTTCATAGGTGGTCACTTGGTGCAATAATGTTCGAAATGCTTGTGGGGTATCCACCATTTTATTCTGAAGACCCAATGTCAACATGTAGGAAGGTACGTGTTGTTTCTATGCCAGTTATTCAAGTGTTGCATACTTCTAGGTCATGTTCTTGCAAGAAAAAAAAAATCTTTTGCTTTCAGATTCTTCTTACACATTACACGACTGCAATTTGCAGATAGTGAATTGGAGAAGTCATCTAAAATTCCCTGAAGAGGCCAGACTTTCACTAGAAGCTAAAGATCTCATTAGCAAGCTATTGTGTAATGTGGATCAGAGACTTGGAACAAAAGGTGCACATGAGATAAAGGTATACATTAACAGATTATTTGCAGTGTTACATAATGTTGAACATTTCATGATTGATAGCACAATGTGTTTATGCAGGCACATCCATGGTTTGGAGGTGTTGAGTGGGAGAAACTATATCAGATGGAAGCAGCTTTCATTCCTGAGGTTAATGACGAGTTGGACACACAAAACTTTGAAAAATTTGAGGAGGTGAGGTGCTATTCTCATGCAATCATACTGCTGCGCAATTCCAACTATTTCTCTATATAGATTAGTGTTCTGTTGGACAGGCGAAAGGTGATTCATGAGTAATTCGCAGAAGTTCAAATGTTTTGGAAGTTTGCATATCGCCTTCTATCCTGAGATATTCTTATTTGTATAGTTGGCTTGTTGACAAGAGTACAAGAGTGCATAGCGATAGCGTACTGCATACTAGGTCCTCTACATTAGATTGATTAGCAAGTATTTGCTTTCAGGATATAACAAGCCAAATATCTAATCTACCATATTGGTCCTATCAAGTCAAAACTATGCATAATTGTTCATTAAAAATAGCCTAATGTATTTGCAGTAAATCTCGTTCTACATCCTGCCTGCTTATCCTCCAAATATAGGTCATTTTAGTTTTGCCCTAAGTCAAACTTCTCTAACTTTGACCTAGACCTAGTTTATATCTAGAAAAATATACCAATTAATAAACATGCTATCAAGAAATGTTTAATGGCGGATTTAATGAAATTAACTCGATATTTTAGATTCTAATGCATTTTCTATAAACTTGGAAAGGAGGGAGTATGGTATGGTAGAGACAATGTACTGTGAGACAGTAAAATGTGGTAATATGATGGTGTATAATATATTTTACTTCTTGACCTCTTGCTATTGTAGTCCAATCTCCAGAAGCTACTGGGTACTTACCTTTATCCTTTTGGTATTGTTACAGACTGCTCCTCCAATGCAAACTTCATCAAAGGCGGGTCCTTGGAGAAAGGTAATGCTTTAGAGATGATAGGAATGCATTTACTTCTATTGTTAATCTTTGGTCGAAGTATAAAAATCAGCAAACTGAGGAACTGGGCAGTTCAATATCCAGTTTTTTTTCCCCACTTTTTGGCCATATTGAGGTTTCACTCTTAGGATCTCACTTTTAGGCCATATCAAGTTTTCACTTTAAAGCCATTACCCCTTTTGCTTTCCAAATGTGAAATGATTTTTTTTTTCTAAGAAAAGGAATGATTATCATGTTTTCTTTTTGTACCACAAGAATCACAATCGTATTTAAAAACTTAAATGCTGAGCCTTGCATCTTTGGATATGGTAACTGATTAATTGTTCCTTTGTGTAGATGCTTTCCTCCAAGGACGTGAACTTTGTTGGTTATACCTACAAGAACTTTGAAATTGTGAATGATCCTGAACTTCCAGGAATTGGTTGGATATAGTTCCTACTTCACACCTTCACTTTGTTCCTAGTTGAATACTTCCCAAGCTTGGGCATTGTTTGTGCATAGCACATCCTTTTGAAGTATTTTATTTTTTGATTGACATTGCAGCTGAGCTGAAGAAAAAGAACAAGCCAAAGCGACCAACCATCAAATCGTTATTTGGTAACTAGCCACTCTCTTGTGAGTTCTTGTGGCCAGCTTTTTTCGTAGCATTTACACTGCATTCACTTAACATCTGTGCAGAGACTGCTGATAGTGAAGATCAGCCTTCTGATGGCAGTTTTTTGAACCTATTACCCACACAATTGGAGCTGCCTGAGAGCCTTGAGCCCTCCCCTCACTCCAGTATCTCTTCTGAGGATTCCCAAGCACGGAATAGGTAGCAGGTGTTTGTTTTCTGGTACCTGCCAGCTTAGCCCAACAAAAAGCAAGACAGGCTTTTCACATAGTGATGGAATCTGCAGAATCAAGTTTTTATTCAGAGGGCAAGGTCCATAGAGTTTGCTTTTGAACAGCTGCTTGAGGTGCTCAGCAGCCATCTAATATGGCGGCACATCATCCTGTACATTGTTACTGGTTTTCAAAGTTCCTTTGGCAACGACCCGAGCAGGTTGGTTGTCATAGAGAGGGAGGTATTTGTTCTCTCCTGTAAATTCCTTGGATCCTTTGAGTATCTGAGATTCATTCTTTCGTTGGAGCATGCCAAGGGGGTATGCTGCCGGTTTCTTTTTTACGTGCAGAAATCTGTCTTCCTACATTGTTGTAAGATTAGGGACAATGTAAAGAAATTGCGAGCGATTAGCAAGCGAGTACTTTATATTCCATAGAGTTATTTTTCCCCTTTGATATTGTACTATACTAATTTTGCAAAACTGTTCTTTATGTGTGTGCATATCAAATTTTTTTTTGAGTGGGTGTGTGCATATCAATTGATTTTGTTTCACGTTTGTGGTCTGTTTGGTTTGACCACGAGGTTTCTAGCAACAGGTGGGCTGCTTCAGTAGAGCAGTTCTTTCCTGAGAAAAAGTCTTTTTTTACCTCCCTCAACTATCCTTTGACTCTGCGATTTCTCCTTGAACAGTGAAATGCAAAACCAACTATTTGTACTCCAACTAAAAAAAACCGTGCAAATTATCTCTCTGACTTATCCTAAGATGGTTTTCTCATGATATGATGCTGACGTGTCACTAGTTTTGACATGCGGTTGTGTTGACATGGCAAACCACTTATATAGAAAATAAAAAGGAAAAAATATTGGGACCCATGTGTCATTTTCACCATCTCCTTCGAGTAGCCTTAGCGCTGTCGTGCGGCGACCTTAGCCAGCATGCTCCAAACACGTCGAACGCTTCCCCGTCTTAGAATTTATTTTTTCAAATAATATTATTTTAATAAATAATTGCAGATCTAGGTGTTGTTTTTATAAAATTGCAAAACTAGTATTCTATTGGCTATGCAGTAGTCCAGAGGGAACCTATCGGCCAGTCAATTACCGACATCCTACGTGGCAGGCAAAAATCACAGCGCAGGGTCCTATCGGCAATCAGTTAGCCCACTAAATGTCTATCGGCAATCTGGGGGCCGATAGGTGCAATCAGCAGTTGGCCACCCGATGGCCTATGGGGCATCGGAAGACCGACTGCACCCACACCCTACAAGCCGCGTCCCTTTTAGAATTTGTTTTGTTGATCACGTTTCTTCACTATTTAGATTTTAATATTTCTTTCAACCTACCCGAACAAAATATCTAAACAAAAGATATTGTAAATTTCTAAGTAGATGCTAAAAATCAAGCACACCCTATTTTATTTGCATCTAACATCATTTTTGAAGGTAAGAGGGAATTATATTAAAACTCAGCATAGTACATCCCAGAATTACACACCAAAAACTCTAAATAAGCAAGGTACAATATTTTATCCCGATTCCTCCATCGTCTTTCACTAGTACATAAATCATTTTTAACGACGCCACCCTTTCCTATTAGAGGCGGTCCAACTGGCATGTCGCCTCTAACCGCGCCGGTGAGCACTGTAGCTCCATGACCGCCTCTGAAGATGCATCTTTAGGGTGGTTCTATTAAGAAAGCCGAGCCTCTGAAATACATCCATTTTCAGGGGCGGTTGGTTTAAGAGAACCACCCCCTAAAAATGAATATTCAGAGGCGGTCCTCTTTACAAAACCGTCTCTAAAAGTGATCTATTTTCAAAGGCGGTTCCTTACGAGAACCGCCCCTATAGATGAATTAATAAAGGCGGTTCTCTTTAGTTCACTGCCCCTAAAAATGCCCCCCTAAATACCCCTTCTTCCTCCTCGGGGACAGTAGCTCACTTGGAGGGCGAGAAATAGCAAAAATAGAGGGGGAGGTTTTTTTAAACCTTTGAAGGAGTTGGGTTTGAGAGGTGAGATAGTGGCATCCCTAAACTCTTTTCAAACTTTACATGTTCATTTCTTTCACTTAGAGATCTAGAGAGAGACATGCATGATGTTAGATTTTTTATTTTTCCTAGTAATTTAGACTGATTTTTGCCCAACTTACTTTGGCTCACATGAACTCTAGTTAATTTCTATACTTACTTTATCGCTTTTAAGCTTTAGGTCTAGAATAATATAATTTTTGTATAAAAAAAGACATCAATTACTTCAACATTTATATGCGAATAATACCTTGATACAAATATACCTTTTACTTTTGAAGAGCACATATGGACAGGTCATGGATGTACACGAAACAAAGACATAAAGCTTCCTACATACAAGATGTGAATGTTTTTATTGAAGAAGCTAAAAAGCATACTTTGATTAAGCAGACAAAAGATATATATTGTCCCTGTTTTGACTGTCGTAACATGTTTTGTTACACACACGTGGCCCGTTCGGCTTGCTGAAACTTGGCTGAAAGTGGCTGGAAACACTGTTCCTGCTGAAATATTGTGAGAGAAAAACACTGTTCTGGCTGAAAAAAGAAGCCGAACAAGCCGGATTTAAGATAAGCCGACATGTTTGGCTTGTATGAGAAAAAACAAAAAAAGTAAAAACAGATGGAAAAACGGCAAAAGGGAAGAACGGTTGCAGAACGGACGCAAGAATGTAAAAACAAAACAAATAAACTAATTTTCCTGACTAGAGTCTACATCTTCTAACTACGTAAATAGTACCTACGTATCTAAATATGTAACCTACTAATTTTTGGATCTAAATCAGTAAAAAGCTGATCATATAAAAAAAGAAAAATATAAATAAACAAATACCAACGTGCTTGCATCCTGGTGATGGCGGACCCGGTCAGCCCCTCAAATGCCGATATGCCTATCGGCACCAACAACACCCCCGTGGATGATGCTGTGGCATGTGGCGGCACATAGCGGCAACCCAAACGCTGATTGGATCCCATTGGCTGCTGGTTTACCGATTAGTGGCCTATCCACTTTTGGACAGCCCATTGGCTTCTAAATTTGCAATTTCACTATTACAGCTTCTAGATCTGTAATTAAATATTAAAATAATATTATTTCAGAAAAAAGGGTCTCGCCAGTGGTGTGCGCACTTGGACGGCACAATGTTCCATGTTGTGAGGTTGAGCTCTAGGCTCCAGCCACCCCGACCTCGCCATGCCCTTTTCCAGCGTGTCGTCGACGAGCCCGAGCCGCGCTTGGAGGTGTGAGAATGGCACGTGGGGGGCAGTGCTTGGAGGTGAAGGTGGAGGTCGACGATGGGGTCTGACGCTTGGAGGAGGTGGAGCCGGCAGCAGGGACGACACTAGCAGGAGACAGCGGTGATGAGAAAGTGATTGGTTGACACGCTGGGCCCCGAGGGGGCGCATAGCAAGGTCGGGGTGGATGGAGCCTGGATCTCAGCCTCATGACATGGAACGTCATGCCATCCAAGTGTGCATGACACGGGCAAGACTGAGAAGCGTTCGACGTTGTTTGGAGCATGCTGGCTAAGGGCGCCACACGATGACGCCGAGGCTACCCGAAGAAGATGATGTGAGAATGAGACATGGGTCCCAATATTTTTTCTTTTTGTTTTCTAAGTGGTTTATTATGTCAACATATCCACGTGTCAAAACTAGTGACAAGTCAGCACCATATCATGAGAAAACCAACTTAGGACGACTCAGAGAGGTAATTTGCAGGGTTTTGTTAGTTGGAGTACAAATAGCTGGTTTTCCAGTTCACTCAAGGTCAAGGAGAGAATGTGATACAGACTTGGGCCTAGAATTTTTTCCTATTTTTCTTTATTTTTTGTGTGGTTTTGCTACGTCATGTTGATATCAATACAACCTCCTATCAAAACCACCTTACGATGAGTTAGGGAGATAATTTGTACGATTACGATAATGCTTGGCCACAGGCGTCCGTGCACCTTAGATAATTTGTACGATAATGCTTGGCCACGGACGTCCGCCCCGTTTGGATGCCGCGCGCCTCACTCCGGACGCGCTCTCACTCTGGACGCTTGCTTTGTCTTTGCTTCAACCGCAAAGGAAAGATCCTTGTGCATGGACTCTAAAATTTATCCATGCATGTTCCCTAGCTTAGATCTTATTCATAAGCACATAGACCTCCATCTTGTCAAGGTCCTTCTCAAGGAGAATAGACACCATGATGTCATACTTGGGCTTGTAGAGTGTCATGAGGATGTTGCGGTTGATTACTTGATTTTTTTCTAGTGCAAAGCTATGTGAGACCAAGAGAGCTTATCTCCTCAATAAGAACATTCAAGCGAGGATGCATATCATTGAAAGTTGTTTTAGGAGCAGTTTGAAAGCGCTAGCTTGGCCTTGAGCACATGATATTGCTCATTATGAATGGTGGTGGTGCCCTTGTTCGTTGAGATTAATGAGCTATTGCCAAATATCATGGGCCAAGTCCTGACTATGGATCTGATTAAAGTTTTGCTCACCAATGGCTTCAAAAATCACATTCTTGGCATGAGCATTCCACTTGACTTGTTCAGTTGTTAAGGGTGAGTCATACCTGGTGCTAGCCATGGCCCTAAAGTATGGGGAGGGGGCTTCAAGATATGCCAACATGTGGGCTTTCCAATAAGGAAAGTTCTTCCCCTCGAACTTGGGCAGCACACTCCCTCCAAGAGCCATTCCTTGAGCTGAAAGTCCAAATTGAGAAATGAGGCTCAAATATCAATTGTAACGACCACATGGTCCAAGAGGGTGTTGAATTGGTCTTCAAAATTTAAGCAACAACCTTAGCCTATGCAAACTCTAAACCCTCTTTGCACCTTGGCACCTAGGGTTTCTACAAAAGCATACTAAAATATCCTTAGGACCAACATTCTACACATGCCCTTAGGAAGAGAACTAAAGGAGCAAGCTGACCAAGTCTATCATGAGCTTCACACACTTTTGGATACAACCTAT